ACGATGTAAGATAATAGGATGCCGGCGCGACAAACTAAAAACTAACCTATACGCGCCACTAGCGCCACTAGCGGCCATTCTATATCTCGCGATATGAGTCGAAAAAGCTGCGGTCGGGAAGACACTAGAAATGCTTCGAAGCGTTTGATTGACCAATCAGGACAAAAAGAGTAAAGATTTATTTATTCTGATTGGTTAATGCAATGCTTCGAAGCATTTCTAGCGTCTTCCCGACCGCAGCCCAAGTTCAGTATTCAGTAGTGTATCCCCCATCTTGAGTAACATGGCACTTTCCATTTTCCATATATATATATAGAGTTCAATGATTTTATCATAGACTTCTATATATATAGAAGTCTGTGGATTTTATCGACTCGATATTTGTTTACATTCTTGTCTGATTCTGTATTCGTTTTAACGTAATATTTTATTCTATAATGTTTTATTGATATTTCAAACGCAACCAAATATCGATCGTTGAGAATTTCTTAAAGTAATCAATATTGAGATTGTCATGAAACTTGAGCTATTGGATTACAGAAAGAAGCCACAATAGATTAATGGCTTTCAAGGTTATATGTGTATTGAAAAGTAAGAAATGTGATTTTACAAGAGAGCGTTTCGACGAAACAAATTAAGGCCATGCATCCTGTATGTAGAGAAACAATACTTTGACATTACACAAATGATATAGCGATCATAGTCAAGAGGAAAGCGACGTCAGAATCATCGATCACATTCTAACAGAAAATAGACTTTTATCATTTATCCCTGAATCAATAATCTTGAAGGAAAATCTCAATGGCTTCTGGTATTTCCCATTTAATTACTTTGACATATTAAACGTTTTTTTCCTTCTCTTTTTTCCTCTTACGCAAATTTTTCTCTTTTTTTACACGTCGAGTTCTATCACATCTGTATGTCTAGCAGTCAATAATAATCTAATTGCATTGTACAATTGATTTTTACGCGATTAATTAGTTGTAATCGAAAATGTTTATCATTAATTATATTCATTTAGGGATAATTATAATTAATTATTTTTATTGAATAATAAATTAAATCGATGTATAAATTATATGCAAAACAAAGTAATAGAAGTAAAGAAAGAAGAAAATAGAGCAAGGAAGCAAAAAAGTAATGGGTTCTTTGTTGCACTTTTGCATTTTAAACGGAATCGGAGAATTTACATTTTAAAAAAGAATGAAAATAAAACAATGAGATTAACATAAAAAGATTTACAACAGAATTGTATATAAACTATTAATAAAAAATCCGTTTTACAAATTATTAATAAAAAACTGTTTTACGAATTTTATTAATATAATTCAAATTATAATTAAAGGCCCCAATAATAAGATCGAAAATAAAAGTGGGCTGGAGGAGTAACTATAACGCTTATGATGTAAATATTAGCGTAACGTAAATCTAAAAAACAAAATTGTTGATATCACTTATTTTTCTTGTGATGTAAAAGACTGCAAACATTTTGATTCTTAAAACTAGATTCTCTTTTCAATGACGCGTGAAGCGCAGAAATTGTCAAATATAATCCGTCAAAGTAATAAAAAAAAAAAATGATCCTGTGCTAGTGAATATTTCCGAAATGTGATCGTTACTTTCATGTCACCACGTTACCTTGACGAATTTTCGACAGGTTTATATCTCTATATACCTATGATTAATTTTATACGATACTAGGTGATTTTTTTTAATACTTTGACGGATATTATATTTCAGACAATTTTTGCCCTTCACAGGCGATTCATTGTGATATATTTACATAATGTAGATTCTCGCTCAAGTTTCTAATATATACATGTCCGACCGCAAATTTTTTAACTCTTCAATGTTACTTATATTTTTATTTAACAATTCATAGTCATGTATCCTTGATACGTTCTTGCACGCGCTAAATGAGAACGGATTTCACTGTAAGAAAAAATACAAACGCAATATTATTATTTGCGATATATAAAAGCAACTTTAAATAGCAACTTGAAAGTTTCTCGCGATTTTACTTTCTCTCGTCATAATTCCGATAAAGAGAGAGAAAGAGAGATTGTTATATTGTACAAATCTTCTACTGATAGTTACTACTGTATATAGTAAATGAATATTCAATGTCGATATATAATTATCTTGCCAATCAAGATTAATTATCAACAATTTATTATTATTATACAATTTTTATTTTACGACTAACATACATTGACTAACGATAAAAATTTATGTGCTTATTAATCGTCGTACGATCTTGGAAGGAACAAGAAAAAAATATTAAAAGGAAAACTTACTTGTGTTTTTAAATAAGGGAATTTTGTGAACTTTCCTGATAGATTATAATTTGGCGCCTATACTCAACGTGAGCGGCCTCGGACCTCGGACTGCGAATCGGTCCGACACTGTTCGTCGAGGATATCCTACGGCAGTTCTCTCCTCCAAATTCCCGATTCTACAGATCCGAATGAAGGTATGTCTGCCCGCGCGAGAGCAAACGTGGAGAGTTAATACGGCTAGGGAACACGAACGGAACCGATTTACGAAGAAGAGCCGGTGCATTGGAGGGAGACGTCCTTGATTACCCGCGGCCGGCGTTATGAAACGTATAAAGGAAACCGCCGTCGTTGTCACAGACCCAGAGCGCGACCCGTCCGAGCCCAGCCGAGTCATGCCCGCCAACGAGGGCACTTCAACCGACAATTTCGCGGTGGCGCGGATCAAGCTCGAAAGGATGAACCCTCTTGCGGGATTTCCGCCTAAGATGTCAAGGTCGGACGATTCATCCACTGATTCCTCCACGACCCCGATTCTCTCGAGTTTCACCGCATCAACGGAGGAACGAAAGGCAGTCGAAAAGGGAGATTTCCGCAGCATACCGTGTCGGAACGTTCACGAGAAGCTCTTCAGGGACTTTTTCGAGCTAGTATTGCAACGAGCGGTGTTTCAGGTGAATGTAATCTTTAATTATGTATTTATTTGTTTGAACGAGAAATTAATTCCTGTGCGAGATTGCATACTTTCGATATTGCGCAAGCAAGAATGTTTAAGAATGGTAAGAAACGCGCAAGAATACGCACAAATGTTTTAATTAGAGAATAATTGCGTGATACCCACGTAGTCGCGGAGAAAAATATTTAGATAATTGTAAAATAACGATAGCAGTTGTGGATTACACAACTGGTAAAGGCAACTTGGACACGATAATTATTTCTGTATTATTTTTCATATACCATTTGTAATATACCTAGAGACATTCTCTCTCTCTATCTCTCTCTCTCTCTTTCTCTCTCTTGTAGCCTATAATTTTATGTAGTTTTCTTTGTAGTATAATTTCTTCCCTACATTATTACAACTACCTGTGCTATATATTTCAGCGTACTGTACCACGATACAGATCTTTTTTATTGATTGCACCTTCTTTATTGATTTCGCCGTTTGTGACATGAAACATTCTTTCTGTTCTAGCCGCCGGGGCGGAATTCAAACGTTTACCGCTTAATTATTTACTTACTTTTGCAGACCGCGTTCCTTTCTATGATTTTTTACTGTTTCTTTATCAATTAGTTTTTTTATTCACTTTCAAAGTTGCTAGTTTTTATATGTTTCATTACTTATACATTCTACTTGTTACTTGTTATACATTGCCATTACATCCAACGATAAAACATTATTTCATCATATTCTATTTGCGATATCCGTAAAAATCGCGGATTTACACTATCTTATGCTATTATCTTTATTATGGTGATACCAAAAGCGATACCGCGAAATCACATTGATTTTGCGATGTCACAAAAGAAGAGTGAATCACTGATAAAATAGATTACCGGTATTACTGGTACAAATTTGTGCCTATGTATATCGTTAGCTATATAACTAAATCCTTAATGAGCACGACCCCACTAGTAAATGTCGAAGATATCGTATGGCACGTGTGGTACGTAATGATCGTGTTTTATGCTAATGTATAATGTAGTCTATTTGCTACGAATGCGGTAGAATGATGGAATTTACCTCGCTTCCGCCGATATGTAATAGCGATAGTATTGATAATAATTATGATAGTAATTGCGAATGACGAAGCGACAATTAAAGCGCTACCTATTGATCTCATTATCATGCGCTATTACACAGAAATTAAATGCAAACTACATACATTACACGCAAAAAAATGACTTAACAATAGCAGCTAAATTTCAGTAGCTGAATCAAATTTAGCTGTAAGAGCTATCGCCTTAGTGTCATAGCTAAGTACTAGTTATTATAGGTAAAAAAAATTCACTGTGGCATGAAAATTTATTAGCTGAAATTGAAAGCGTATATTAACACGAGAGCAGCTATAAAGATAGCAACCGTACCTAAATTTCTTACTATGCGCATACATTGCGGAATATGCTTTATAGCTAAAACATTTAGCACGCGCAGCTAAGTTTATGGGTATGCGCGCGAATCTTCGATTCACAATTGTTTAATTGTTTCTGCGACGCTGTCATTGACAACATCGACGCGTTAAAATAGCTAAAAAAAAAAAAAAATAGCTAATAAATTTAGCTTGGGCAGCAACAGTATTAGCTGTCCTTATTTTAAGGACACATTTTAGCTATCACAGCTATATATTAGCTCCTGTTGCTAATCTTTTTTTTCCGTGCTATCATTACTTGGATGTATCGGTTACCGCTGACACAGATTATATCGTATGTGCGTTCGTTTAATCTTAATATATTATTCCGTAGAAAATGCTGATCTGTTCTCGACATTAGTATATAAATTAGTGCTAATTATATCCTGTTTTATCCTTGTGTACAATGAAATTAATCTCCTCAAAGTTTACACGCAAAAAAATGACTTAACAATAGCAGCTAAATTTCAGTAGCTGAATCAAACTTAGCTGTAAGAGCTATCGCCTTAGTGTCATAGCTAAGTACTAGTTATTATAGGTAAAAAAAATTCACTGTGGCATGAAAATTTATTAGCTGAAATTGAAAGCGTATATTAACACGAGCAGCTATAAAGATAGCAACCGTACCTAAATTTCTTACTATGCGCATACATTGCGGAATATGCTTTATAGCTAAAACATTTAGCACGCGCAGCTAAGTTTATGGGTATGCGCGCGAATCTTCGATTCACAATTGTTTAATTGTTTCTGCGACGCTGTCATTGACAACATCGACACGTTAAAATAGCTAAAAAAAAAAAAAAAAATAGCTAATAAATTTAGCTTGGGCAGCAACAGTATTAGCTGTCCTTATTTTAAGGACACATTTTAGCTATCACAGCTATATATTAGCTCCTGTTGCTAATCTTTTTTTTCCGTGTACAAATTACATGCGCGATCAGACACGACTTAAGGAGAAGAAACTGAATGCTCAGCGAAAACCTACTGTTTTCCAGATTCTCAAAAGAATTCTCAAACTCTCCTACCATTTTCCGATTTTTTTACAACTTTTAGATATCTTGAAAAATTAGATAGATAGATAGATAGATAGATAGATAGATAGATAGAGAAAGAGAGAGAGAGAGAGAGAGAGAGAGATTTCTCAAAAAAATAAAACAATTATTACAATATTTTTTTATTTTTAAATCTCTTACTTTGGCCTTACTTTAAAATGTTATGAAAAATTAGAAAGTTTTGGAGAGAGGAGCATGAGAGAGCTTTAATCAAAGAGTTTTAATTCTCAAACATCAAAATTATATACTTGAAACAAGAAATAAGTTTTTCAAAAAATCGAAAAATTATTAATTTTAATTTTCAAATTCCAATAACTTTTAGATTGTTGAAAGTTGTTAACATTGGAGAATTGACCTTTTTAGTACTTTTTTTGAAGAGGTAATTATTTAACGATTTAAAATATATTACATAATTTATATATGCGAGCAATTGCTTAAAATTATAAGCTTTGTTTTTAATTGTCGTCTACGCATTATCGCATCTTGCAGTCCACCTCCGGGGAGGATCGCGTGGTCGAGTGGGTGGATCCTAACAATCTACGATCTGTGGTCGATCTTTCGCTGCCAACCGAAGGTGTCGGCCATGAAGAGCTGTTGACGTTAACGCGCGATATCATCAAGTACAGCGTGAAGACGGGCCATCCGCACTTCGTGAATCAACTGTTCTCCGGTCTGGATCCATACGGATTGTTAGGTCAATGGCTCACCGATGCGCTCAATCCATCCGTCTATACTTACGAGGTATCTCCGGTGTTTTCCCTGATGGAAGAGGACGTGTTGCGAGAGATGCGCGCCATTATTGGCTGGCAGGATGGTGAGGGACTCTTTTGTCCTGGGGGTTCCATGGCGAACGGATATGCCATCAACCTGGCACGTCATCATAGGTGATTATTCATCTTTTTCTCTCTCTCTTTCTCTCTCAATTATCTCTTAAAATAAATTATGAGAGCATTATCTATTGTTTTTTATTTTATTTTGTTGATTAAAATTATTTTTTTAATTTATTATTTTTTAAATATTTTAGTTGTCCAGAAATTAACATTATATGTATTATTATAATTTATATTCATTTCACAATATAGCAATATTATAATTATTATTAGATATACATATACGCTATATCGGCACTTGAATAAGTAAACAAAACGTTCGTTATTAACTGTAGATATCCAAACCTGAAGCAATCCGGATTATCGCAGATGCCGCGGCTGGTGGTGTTCACGTCGGAGGATGCACATTATTCCGTAAAGAAGCTTGCCGCCTTCCTGGGTATCGGTTACGACAACGTTTATCTGATCAAAGTTGATTCCCGAGGCAAGATGGTGATCACCGATCTGGAGGCTCAGATTGCCCGAGCCGTCGAGGAGGGTGCTGTGCCGCTCATGGTATCTGCCACCGCGGGCACCACCGTGATGGGCGCCTTCGATCCCCTCAAGAAAATCGCCGAAGTTTGCAGGAAGCGCGCACTGTGGTTTCACGTGGACGCAGCGTGGGGTGGCGGCGCCCTCGTCTCCAAGACGTATCGCGGTCTTCTCGAGGGCATCCAGCTCGCCGACTCCGTTACCTGGAATCCCCACAAATTGCTCGCCGCGCCGCAGCAGTGTTCCACTTTGTTGCTCCGTCACGAAGGTCTTTATTTTATTTTGCAAAATCAAAATATTGTAATTATTATAAACCTTAATAATTTTATTCAACATCGCAATTTTGTTTTTTCACCTTATATTACCAAAATATTTTAATTAATATTTAATTGTAATGAATATTTTTTAACTTTAATTGAAAAAAGATATATATTTAATAAAAGTCACGAAACAATGTTTTCTTTTAATTAAAAAAAAAATAAGACAATAATTTATATTATCGAAATTCTAATTGTGTTTTTAGGTTTGTTACAAGCGGCGCATGGCTGCGGCGCGAGCTACCTCTTTCAGAACGACAAGTTCTACGATGCGGCATTCGACTGCGGCGATCGACACGTACAGTGCGGCCGCCGCGCCGACGTGGTCAAGTTCTGGTACATGTGGAAGGCGAAGGGCACACGTGGTCTCGAGGCCCATGTTGACCGTGTGTTTGCGCTATCGCGCTACTTCGCCGATCTCATCAGGATGCGCGACGGCTGGCGTTTGCTCGCCGAGCCAGAGTGCACCAACGTTTGCTTCCGCTACGTCCCGCCGTCGAGAAGACACTTGACCGGCAGTGAACTCGATCAGGCGCTGCATAAGGTGTGTAAAGTACTTATTATTTTCAATAGTACTTTCATTTCGTATTTCTATTTATTTGAATCTATATTTCTTGCTATTTTATTTCCCGTCCATTTTATTTCGTATGAAATCGCATGCAGATTGCGCCGATAATCAAGGAGCGTATGGTGCGAGCGGGAACGATGCTGATAACGTATCAGACGTTGAGAGACATACCGAATTTCTTCAGACTGGTATTGCAGAACTCGGGATTGACGGAGGGCGACATGAAGTTCTTCGTCGAGGAGATAGAAAGGCTCGCTGTAGATCTTTAATCGACTTAAATTGCAGATATTGTAAATAGCGATAAAATGTGTACGTTTTGTGTATTTTATTAGTATAAGAAATAGTTGTATTTGTGCTAAATCGTTAATGTGATACTTGAAAAAAATAATAAGTGTATAAGAATATTTCTCTTCCTTATTAAATTTATCAGGTTACTATATTTTTTTTATCAGGATTTCTCTATTTTTTCTTTCAATTTCCATTCATATCCTACGCACATGTATAATTGAAGATGTACCCGCAATCAGAGAATTTAAAGTGATAAAATGAGTGATAAAACGAAAAAGCCACAAAAGATACATCATCATTCCTTTCCATAATGCGTAGTTAAGCAAGAAAATAATGGCAAAAGAGAACGCACAAAAGAAAAAATTTCGTTTATGCTGGTAAGAAACCCTATAAGAATGAGAGAGAACAGAATATAGAAACCTGATTGTAATATACATATATAACATTTAATTTCTTTTTCTTTTCTACTACATAATATGTGTCATATTGACATGACGATAATTACGATATATTTACAAATATTTGTAAGTCTTCACAGTGTGTGATTTACATTGAACAAATTTTGATTTTCATCACATACCCTATACAATTCAATAATAATTCTGGATGCAATAATTCATAATAGTGAATCTCTCATTAATCGTAACAAAAATATTTTACATTCGCGATGTTTGGACTTTAAATTAGTCTTCATGCAGATATCCTCTTGACGATCGTTCCTCGTTGATCCATTCTTTCTGTAATCGCAACTTCTCTGGAAACTTATAAAAGGATTTAGCTGTACTCCTCGAGAAACTTTATGTGAAATTGCTTCAACGCTTCGAGCATCGTTTTTATCTTCTCTTTCTGCGGCAGTATTGTTGTCCGGAAGTGATACGTGCCGGGTTTTTGGCCGAAACCTGATCCCGGAATCACGCAGATTCCGGTGCTCTCCAGCAGCTTGAACGCGTAAAAGACGTCCGGCTCTTGGCCTTTCGCTCGCGCCGCCTCAATCGCCTTCGGCGGCAGTTTGAAACGCGGGAACACGTACATTGCGCCCATCGCTGGATTCGCCTAAAAAGAGAAGAAATATTATGAAAATGTACAATTTTAAGCGCGATCGAGAACAGCTTTTCTATCGACTCCTTCGCAGAAAAATCAAGTCACCTTGTATCCTGGAATACTGTTGAGCGTATCAACGACGAGCCGCGATCTTTCCGCCAAGGACCGCAATGTCTCCTTCTTCTCTTTCTGAAATTCCTCGTACGATGGTTCGCTTGGCTGCGGCGGATTCACCACAACATCCATCACGACCTGGCCGAGTACGCTCGGGCATAGCATTGCGGAGATCGATTTCTGCAACACTTTCATCACCTCCGGATCCATATTAATGATCTCGCTGTAACCACCGCGGATCCCGCACTCGCCCATGTATCCTGAAACAAAATATAATTTAGCTTTAAAATTTCCCGATAAATATTTGTGCAAGTAATTTAGATTCAATATCCTTTGATTAAATCGCTCAGTGTTGTGAACCTTTGCGATAAAATGAACAAACTCGCGAATGTAACTTAAGATGGAATGCTCCTTAATTAATTAATGTTAACGATTCCAAATTCCAACTTTATTCATCCTTTTTTACGCACCTTTTGAGATGGACATAAACGACGCAAGCTCCATCTTCGAATACGGCTCGCCCATCTCCATCATGACTTTCTTGAAAGAATGAAACGCACTGTCTTTATCATATATATTGTCCTGGTAGACTTCGTCGGCTAGCAGGAACAGATGATTCTTGTGGGCGAAACGAATGACACTTTCGATATTTGCACGAGTCAGTACTTGGCCAGTTGGATTACCAGGATTGATCACCACCAACACCCGCGGATTGCACGTGCCTTTGCATTCCCCCAATGCTCGTTCCAACTCACTAATTTCTAGCGACCACTTGTTGTCTTCGTCGAGGTAGTATCCGACCTGCGCAAAACCAAATTCCGCCAAGGTCGCCGAGTAGAGAGGATACTGCGGAATCGGGATTAGAACGCCGGGCAGTTTATTGTCGATTATCTCGTTGAACAATTTCAGGAACGACTGGAAAAAAAATCGGAAATTAGATAAAAAAAAGACGGGAAAACAAGAGTATTGGTGAGCTCTCTCTCTCTAGTATGATGGACTTATCCAAAAGACATAAAAGTTTAAAAATTTCTATTCTTCAATACATATACATAAATATATATGTATATGCACTTGAATAATATAATTTTTATTCCTATTTTTAAAGCATACATTTGTCTTCAATATCAAATACTTTTTATTATATTTACTTTTTTTCAGATAGAAAAAACTAGATTAGGAAAAAAACTACATTTAAACAATAAGACTTCAAATCCGCGCACACCTTGATGCCATCAGAAGCACCATTCGACAGGATGATGTTGTGATAGTCGCAAGGAATACCGCCGTCGCGTTGTTGGATATAGTGTGCGACGTGCTTACGGATCACCTCGATGCCGACCGATTCCGAGTACGAGCCCACGCTACCGCCCTTGCAACTTTTGAGGATTGTCCGAGCGCGTTCCTTCGCATCCTCTGGATAGCTCGGATCATCCAATAGTTTCGGCGATACCGTCAGGGTCAACACCTGTCGCAGAAATGTGATGGGCTGCTGGCCCATCGCGTGAGCGTCGCCCACGTTCGCTTTGATCACCTCATTGAAAGGTTTCTTAACCCCCTGCGAGAAGAAAATATTAAACATTTAATTGCAATTTTATATTTAACATTTTTCTTACGATATATATATAATTGTCAAAATATTTTTAATAAACACAAACGGATCATTTTTTTTACCTAAACTTTAAGAACATTTAACAAGTTTTGCGGAAACAGTCAATTAGAAACCAGATATTACGATATCAGATATTTATTTACAATTTTATATTTTGATACTTAAACTTCAAATTAAAGCTTCATTAAAACAAGACTCGATTGAAATTTAATAAAAAAATTAGATTTGATACGATTCGATCGCTAATTCAAATAGTGTATTAAAGTGTTTCTGATTTTTTGAGAAAAAACCGGAATTTTGTTTTCTGTACTGTTTCGAAAATGCAAATATCAATCTTTTAAGAGGTAATATTTTAATTAAATTGTTATTAACGCGGTTCTCATTAAAAAATATTATTAATTTTTCTTTAAATATTATATTTTCGATATTAATTTAATACAATTTTTTCTCTCAGGTTGTATAGAAAAGAACATATATGTTTTTTATGACTTGTACACGTCTCTTTAAAATTTTATTCTATTTTTATTTTATTCTTATCTATTTTTATTTTTATTTTTGGCTGTTTTCACAAAACTGGGTAATATTGTTAAAACTTATTTTTTTATTTTCTATTCTGTTTCTTTTCGCACACATACTAACACACACAATTTTATATACATATATTTTTATATTTTTTTAAATTCAATTTTCAGATTAATCTACCTAAATTAAAAATAATTTTCAAATAGATGAAAATGCGAAACATTTTTGCCTTCCTAAACTGGTTAACAAGCTTCATTACTATATAATCGCGTCATTCACGGGTGTTACGCAATTACGTGTGAAACTGAGAGAAGCGCGAGAATACACATCCAATGACGACGCATCTGCGATTCATTGGTATTATTATTTCAATGCATAATTGCCCCGATGCGCGATAAACAAAATACGTGTCTCTATTCTTTTCTCAGCAAACCCATTGTTAACACATTAGTAGCTGATATTCCTATTTTTAAAACGCACGAAAAATGTCTTTTCGAAATACCGGGTGTCTCCAAATCAGCTGATCGGAAGCTATTCTGAAAAAAGCATTTCCAAAAATTGCTTGTTCTGAAACACTTTGTACAACGATGAAAAATAAAGCCAACAATACATACATCTACGTTATCTTTTAAAATTATATTTTATCTTCTCGATAATTTTACTACTCGCAATAGGTTTTATTGGCTATACAGTCCTTGTAAAAAGTGACTGAATTGCAAATATTAATATTTATACTTTCCGGGTAAAGATAAATGATGTTCATATAAACAAAACAGTTGCATAACAACGCATTTGTAATTTAATAATATATTTTTATTTATTTATATTATTTGCTGTTATTTGATTTTTGTAATATCCTGGACAGAGAGCAAAATTGGACATGAATATAATTGTATATAATTATATGTAATTACATACTGTATGTAATTATATGTAATTTGAAAAAAATGGATATATTTCGACAGCAAAGACACGCACTACTCCCAATTCTAGCAAACTTTAATTATTTACAAAAAAGACTAATGTGTGAATTATAATAAATTATCTTGAATATTTAAAGTAATTTTACAAAAGAAAACTGAAAAATTTACTATTGTTTTTCACTATACGTAATAATATTATTCCGTTTCCAGAAGAACACATGTAAAAATTTCTTATTGGAATAACTTTTGATCCATGTTGTGAATCATCGTTAAATTTTCTCATGTCACTTTTAAAAATGCAATATAAAAAAATCTATTTTTTTCATTCTCTTCGAGATATGACACATACAATACTTTAATTCGATATTTTTATATGACTCTTTACTGATTATTCGGTTCTTGATAAAACGAGTGGACCTAATGACGCTATAAGCACTGCCATATGTTTGCCACCATATATATGTCTTATTGATCGAAATGAAAGAATAAAAGATAATCAGCATGAGATAATTAATAAATATCATTACATTTTTTTCCACCTCTGTACATTCTGTCATATGTGATAATCCGTTAACCGCAATTGCGCGACTACAATATATTTTATGTATACACCGATACGTTATCGTACACTCTGCTCTTAGATAACAAGTCGGCGAATGTACAAGTAATCGTCTGACTCGTCATTTTATGGTTCCTCTCTTTGGCAAACAAAAAAAAAATAATAATTGAGATATATGTATTTTATCCTACTCTTATTTTAAAAAATGCAACAAATTGTCCAACTGACTGCATAGCTCAAAAGCTCATTTTACCTCAATTCGTTTGAAAAATAAGAAAGAAAGAAAACACAGAAGTTGCTGTAAGTATTAAACTAATGGAAACTTTCGCGTAATCTTTCTAGTTTGAAAAAAATACGGATTCAAGACATGAAATGGAGATAGTAAATAAATATATACAATATATATATTTTTTTACTCGTCGGATTTACATCAAGTCGATTATCGAGTTCCATTCAATACTTCGCAGTTAGACAGAGGTACAATTAGCGATTATTTTCCTTCTCTTCCTTCTCCTCCTTCCCACTTTTAACACTTGGCGTTTCACCATGGCAACCTCGCGGTCTGTCACCGAGCGCGCATCCTCTCGCCCTCCTACCACCACTCATCCACCCTCTCTCATTCAATTTATATTCATTCTATGAACTACTGTATCATCGTGCGTTCTTACGCGTTTTTCTTTCTTCGAAAAAAAAAAAAAAAAAAAAAAATTAGATTGGACGGTAGAATTTTATAAGGTGATAACATCATTCGCTCATGTTCGCTCTCTCAATTTCCGACTCAGCTTACCTTACCTTTTGCAGCTCCTTCTCAAGTTCCAGCGCCCTGATGAGCAGCGGTCCGCGCACCGCGTACTCCATTTTGCGCAGGTTGAGGAAAACATTGTCCTCGGTGAGGACCTTGCCACACGGGCTCACCGCTGCGCTCGCCGCCATGCCGCGATACGGAGTGATCGTTTGCTGGAGCAGCGCGGAGGACACCGGCCCGCCATCCGTCATCCCTACCCCTCTGCCGAGCAGCGCTCCGCCGGCACTCTGTCTCGTCATCATCGTCGTCGTCGTCGTTGTCATGGTCTTCGTCGGCCAGCCACCGGCGATCACGGCGCTTCGCAGACGCGCGTGCGACATGATTAGGGTCTCCGCTAATCCCGCTAATCTTCTCCTCCTTCTATCTCTCTTCCTTTTCCACCACGAAGACCGTCCTCTTATTACTCGACGATTTATTCGTGACGATGGTTATTTGCCTTTTCTTTTTCCTATCTCATCGCTCGATCCAGTCTCATTCGCGGATCGACTCGAGGAGAATCGACGCAGGAAAATCAGGCGCAACCACGTCAGCTCGACGATTACAGTTGTTGCGAGTTGCGAGTTGCGTGGCGAGACGAAGAAAGGGGAGGGCACACACGTTTCCGAGCCTCTCCTCTACGACACTGTGGACTGGAGTTCGATCCAAGCGCTCGGAGGACACCGGCCCGCCATCCGTCATCCCTACCCCTCTGCCGAGCAGCGCCCCGCCGGCACTCTGTCTCGTCATCATCGTCGTCGTCGTCGTCGTTGTCATGGTCTTCGTCGGCCAGCCACCGGCGATCACGGCGCTTCGCAGACGCGCGTGCGACATGATTAGGGTCTCCGCTAATCCTCCTTCTCTTCTCCTCCTTCTATCTCTCTTCCTTTTCCACCACGAAGACCGTCCTCTTATTACTCGACGATTTATTCGTGACGATGGTTATTTGCCTTTTCTTTTTCCTATCTCATCGCTCGATCCAGTCTCATTCGCGGATCGACTCGAGGAGAATCGACGCAGGAAAATCAGGCGCAACCACGTCAGCTCGACGATTACAGTTGTTGCGAGTTGCGAGTTGCGTGGCGAGACGAAGAAAGGGGAGGGCACACACGTTTCCGAGCCTCTCCTCTACGACACTGTGGACTGGAGTTCGATCCAAGCGACACGCCACCTGGGTCACGCGTTGTCGAAGATGCGTTGGAGATGATGACCCGCGCGAATACGAATGATCGTGGATAGCGATTCGCTGTCCTGCAAAAAGAGACATGTAGAATCATGCGTTTATTGATAGATTTATTCATTTATTAACGGAAAATTGAATTTCTACACGAAACGTAGAAATCAACGCGCAAATAAAATATAGAATAAGATATGTGTGTGCGAAACAAAAATCTTCTACAACTCTTCCACTTTTATCGGAGGTATTATTCGATATCGCCGACAATATTGTGAGTCGATTATGAAATTGTGGGACAGTCTCTATATCGTTATATAAGTGTGTATGTGTATGTGTATCTCAATATCGTACAAAATTTTAATAGCGTATTCTGGAGGTAAAATAGAGTCGAAAATCCTAATACAAAAATATCGAGATCGCTATAATTTTTAAATTATAAGCGATCAAAGTTTGCTAATAACATCTAGTACGATGACATCTAGTAGACGAGTAGAAAATTGGCGCGCTCAGACCCGTAACTACATTTACATGTCTATCAATTTGTCGTCTGTTATTGATTTTCACAATTTAATTTAGCTAATATTTATTACTATTAGCGAGTTATAATTTTGTTATACGCGAAATGTTTAAAAAAAATTTAAATTTCCAAAAGATTTAAAAAATATAAACGTTTTGCATACAATAGTTATTACTTGCTAATATTATCCGTTCGCCAAATACTTAAGAAACGACAAAGTAAAATCAGCTGTGCAGTGAAAATCAATATCAACGGGAAATCAATAAAGATATGAGAGATTGATAATGTATAGTTACAGACCTGGGCGCGCGATTTCTACGCTATATCAAATCTTGATCATTTGTGATATTTTTCTTTTTAGGATTTTCGACTCTATTTTCTCAACCTTCAAAAGGGGCTGTTAACGTATCGTACGATGGTTTTGCGAGATATCCTGTATACATATATTATATATGCACATTCTCTGAAATAATACATATATTATTTGAGGAATACAAACACGCGCGAAATAGTTTATAATAATTACCGTGACCGGATTATGTATCGCGAGCACCACGCTGTTTCTTCGCGCCTTTCACAATGTCACTGGATCACTCCTTGAAAGCACAGTGAGAGAACGAACGATCTGTCGCAAAGTCTCGCGCAGGCGCGTCTTATTTTTCGTCTCGCGTACATTTCTGCGGATCACCCGAAATCAGTGACTCTCGAAACGAAATCACGTAATTCGTAAGATCCACTTCAATCCTATCTGACAATAAGATGGACTTTATAAATAATGAATTTTTATCATCTTCTTTTCTTTTACACCTTTTCATTGTTTTCTCGTCGCGATTTTCATAATTAAATGCACATTTAAAAGTTTTTGACTAATAAAATAATATAGAATAAAATAAAGATTGTCTCGTTTTTTTTTTAAAGAATCCAACACAAGCGAGGATCTATAGACCAATTTTTGATAATCGACTTTTTCATTATCAATAAATTTGATTAGATTGTTCAGTACGTAAGAGATATATGATAAGGGATAAACGTACAGATATATTGCCGATCCTATAGAGAGCCAACATATGTTCATCTTATCTGGTACTTTCCGCATCTTTTTTCCATCTCGCTTTTTTTTTTCGATATTTGTACTGCATTTTTCATATTAGGCAATTTTTATCTATTAAAAAATATACAGAAATAATAAAATAATACATTGATATCACCCTCCAATTATCTAAAAAAGAATCATATCAATCTTATGGTAATATTTATCACTGCGAGCGATGACAAGCGCCACGAAAAAAACGGAGCGTGAAATATTAATAAATATATATTTATTTTGACAGAAAGAAGAGAGCAGAGAGACAGAGAAAAAGAACAGATAGGAAAAAGAAGAGACCAGGAGAAAGACGCAGCTAAGAAGAGTAGATTTCGTATATATTTAAACGCAATTGTGAGATTAACATTGATGAGAAGCATCAAGTCGACCAAAGGTCGCGGTCTCCTATGAACTTCAAATGACGTGAAATTACGGCCGACATAGCGAGATATCTTATCTACCACTTTGTTAATTAAAAAAGGAAGAGGAAACTATATGTGTATTAATCTAATAATAAGACGCACGCACGTCATCGGCCGTTAAATGGCAAAAATAATAACATTCCAACGATCATCGATCGATTAACTCCCGGTTGACCGACTATCAGAACGCTCGGAAAACATCGTGTTTCGAAGGTCAGGGATCTATTTGCGCGTCTTTTACAGTGATATACACATCTTGACACGCATACCATATTTGTCCAAGTATATATTAGTTGTTCGTAAATCGAAAGGTTATAATCGAGGATTTTTGCGAGGCTCACCTGTCTCACCTGTCTCACCTGTCGCGAACAGTTTTCCTCTGTCAGTTCTGATGCCGCTTTGGCACAGCAATAAGACTTTATTTAATGCGATTCTACATTTTCCGTTTACCGCTCCACTTTTATATATGTATACATATTTTTGGAGCGACCGCTATTATATAAGTGCATGTGTGGGTGAGTATAGATAGTCGAGTATACATCTCTTACGTTCGCCTTGCCAACAATTCGTCGTGTGTCGAAGAATTTTTGAGCTAAAGAATATAATTCAGGATTTAATCTTCTCGCGAATATCTGAACTTTCAGGTTTTAGGACTCAAAAATTATTTGCGGACTGATAATTTTGCGAGGCGGAAAGACTGGTGATAAAAAGCCACCAATAAAGATAACCTTCAATATGCATGTGCGGAAAGATAAAATACTAGATTTACTTTAATTATCCCCGAATATTTGATTATTTTTTAACAATGGTAGGTAATAGTTAAGAAGAATAAAATAATGTCGAGAAATTAGGAGAGATGGCAATACTTTACTTATTGCCATCAGTTACAGCTTCTTTCTTATCTTTAGAGAATAAAAAAAAATTCTTTCTTATCGACAATCGATTGATAAAATACAAAAATAAACGTTATCGTAAAAAAAGATAAAACATCTTTTACATTTCTCGCATTTACAATAAAATAGATGTGCATTTTTGAGACTTGGAGAAATAAAAAGAATAAAAAGAATATGAAAAGTGTAGCTGAAACAGACTGAGATATAGAATATATGCAAGATCTAAAAATATACGGGCTCTATATATATCTTGAGCATATCAAAAGTTTATGATAATTATAATAACTTATAATACACACGCACACTTACACAATAATATTATGTGCAGATTTAGGCAATATAAAATTTTTCTTTGCTCTTTATGTTTATGTTTTTCAATCTATTATTGTGTATATGGCGCGGAATATTCCTAAAATATACTCAGATTTTGCTTAACGTAATTTTTTGAAACTATTGATTGGAATCTAAGATAGAAAATGTCGCGAATTTCTTGTTTATCAATTTTAGATATAATAGAACGCATGTTTTTTAGAGCTACTTATAATACACACGCACACTTACACAATAATATTATGTGCAGATTTAGGCAATATAAAATTTTTCTCTTATTTAAAATTTTTCTTTGCTCTTTATGTATATGTTTTTCAATCTATTATTGTGTATATGGCGCGGAATATTCCTAAAATATACTCAGATTTTGCTTAACGTAATTTTTTGAAACTATTGATTGGAATCTAAGATAGAAAATGTCGCGAATTTCTTGTTTATCAATTTTAGATATAATAGAACGCATGTTTTTTAGAGCTACTGTTTTTTTACGAGTTGATGTGGAGGTATCGACGAAAATATACATCGCGAACAAGCGTACCTCCACCGATGACACGCGAGATTCGACGTGGCGTCGCATGTCGCATGTCGCATCTCGCATCCTGCATCCTCAACGGGATTCCCCGCTCTACGCGATAGCGTCGCGACGCGACGCAAAAACTCGTTCGCTCTCCAACAGCCCAACCGATCGCTATTTTTGGCTGACGTACGTGCCAAGTTCGCGGAACGTTCCGCTCGTTCTCCGTCGTCTGTTATCCGCTGTTTTAGAGTACGTCGATTTGTTCTCTTGAAATTTAAACAAGTTTATGACTCGCAAAATCTCACTCGATGATGATATTACAAGATCTGCAATTTGAAATAAATATAATTTTGACAATTAATTGTTTAGAAGAAGATTAATTTACATCGCGCCGGCTCACTGATTAATGAAAAAGCAATAGAGTAATGTGAGAAATATCTAAAATAAAATCGTTCACTTTTACCGAACGAATAATTTCGAGTACAGCGCACCATAAAGAGAATCGAGAATCTTTTCCATTAATTAAAAAGAAACGTTATATTTTATAAGATATTTTCACATTTGATATTTTCAAATAAAATAAGATGCGAACTAGAAAAGATATTTGTATCTTTCTCTCGCATTCACACAGTCGATCATAAAAGTATTTTTACACCAGTCCCTTTTTTATAAAACGCAAAAAATATCAACAATCGCGGATGACTAACGTCAAAATTGTTTCTCTCGCCACATGGTCGAGCGGGATATTCCCAGATGACAGTTAAAATGTTGCGCGTCAAGTGCAAACAATTCGTAGGAATTTGGCAATGGACGAGACAACAGCTGCGTTTGGCGGATGTTGTTATTAGCAGGTCATTGGTACCGCGGTTTTCCCACAAATTGCGCATAACGTAGAAAAAGATTCCATCAAAGTCGAATTACGGAGAGTTAATAGAACGTTGTGACAACATTTATTTCACGCTCGGAATTAGTTGGAAGTTGGAGTATCATTAAATCGTTTCTGATTTCTGGAGAATGAAACGAGTGGAATAATACAGAGCAGACTTTGTATTTTCTTTTTTTTCTGATTAATCCCACAAAATAGTCACACATTTTCGCCGTATATGTATATCTTTCGTCACGTGCGCTTATTCTTTCTCTCACACACACAACTCACATATCAGAAAAATATATAAAATTTCCAGCAACCTGAAAAGTAGGGTCCGTGCAGATGCAAGGGAGAGAACAGAAGACGGAGGTAAATGAAAGTCATCATCACGAACGAGAAACTGAAAGAGATTCTCGTGTTAGAGTCTGGACCCTGCTCTGATTTTGGCCGAAAACGGCGGCTAAATATTATAATCATAAGCATTCTATACGTAATATATTTATGTATAAAATATTAATATATTTACGTTTATAGTCTAATTATGACGGTATTTCTGATTAATTTAGCTATTTTTTAGAAATAAATATCAACTGATTCAGTAAAAAATCGAATAGTGATCAGGTTTTGAGAGAATCTTTAAGAATGATACACGTCCGTTTTCTACGCGACACTCCGTAAGATACTTCTTTTTTATATAAGACTCTAGAATATTTATATAAATATAGGCCTTCAAATACACGAGGTTTGAATCTCTGATATTTCGAGTCGATTTTTCTCAAGCATCGCGCATCTGACGCTTTGAGAATTCCAAACGAACGCTAAATCTGGACCACTGAATATTCGCGCGGCGAGCTTCGCGTATGGACTCTTCGCGAAGATCAAAGCCGAATTTTCTTAAGCGAAGACATGATAATGGTCAAAACGTTATTTTCATCTAGTCGCTTCATAATTTTCAATATTTTGATCTGATAAGAAAATTTCAAATTAAAATTAATTCTATGTTTTCAATCATTCAAGATTCAAAAACTGTTTACATACATCTCGTTAAATTAATTTCTTAAAAATTTAAGAAACTGCAACTATAAATATCTCGAATATCTTTGAAACGGTTAATATATCTTTTTTCCAATTACGCAGATATGATTTTAATTACTCTCTGGTTAAAATTTGAATTTCTTAAAAAATAATATGTATGATACAATTATCTTAAATGAAACATGTTGCGTGAAACTCTGTCCTGTACAATCCTGGAAAGAAAGAAACGATGGACATCATCACGAACGTTCACGCGACTGTAAAGTGTGTACATATGTATATATTACATACTTCGTGTTGCGGCGATGACACGTTAAACGTGCGTGCGATATGCGGTCAATTATTAACGTGAACAACAAACATACAACTCGCAACCAAGAAATTATCTCGTAGACAGACATACAATAAATTAATAATAGGCATCCTATTAATCATTAATAGGCGTGCAATAAGAAATCAGTATTAACTTATCATCGTCGTTACGTGTACATTTCACGTAATACTGTACCGATTACAATGCCGGTATATACTTACCGAGCAGACCAATCTGTCATTCGGTACACATGCGAAAAGCGCGAAGAATATATAGGATAGAAAAAGTCGCGAAATTTTTTGCATATCAAATCGTGTTATCATCGTGTTATTTTCTAAAATACAATCTTTTTTACGCTCCAAAATTTTATGCAAACTATTATATATATTTTATTTATATAGGACTGCGATCTTTGCGCGTAGGATCATGTAAGTTAAAATTATTTCAAATAAATGTCTACGATACAATCTGGTCTGCTCGACGGATGAGTATATAGCGCGCTTCTTTATATAGTAAACTACGTATCTCTTTCTATATATAAGATGTCCCCGAAGTCACATGCTCTAGGATTTTGATTGTTTCTTTTAGACTATACGGGGGAGAATAACAACTGTGTAACTTTGGCGCGCGATTTCGAGTTCATCTCACATAAATTAGACACGTCTCTCATCTCGTAATTCCTCATCATCAGACCGCAAACGGTAAATAAATTAGAAAAACGACAGACTGTCATCTCGATGAAAGAGAAAAATTTGTTCGCTGCGCGCATATCCGTATGCGGATTTCTTCTTCTATATAGATTCTTTTTTGAAAAAATATAACGGAATATAGACGCAGCCGTTTCTAGAAAACTCCGTTCTCAAGAAGACCGTTTCCGCAAGGAAGTCAGCTATTCGCGCAAACTTACGGACGACATCGTTCGCTCGCGTTTATTCCGTTCTATAAAAGAGAAAAGGCCTCATCCTAAGGCAATGACGAGCGACTCGCAGAATTCGTTCATTGCACGGCTTGCAACGCGACTAGTTTGATTCTAGCTTGGCATCGGAAAAAAAGTAAAAAAAAAAAAAAAAGAGAGAGAGAGAGAACAGCTGCCGCGCTAGCGTTCAACGCCTTTATGCAGTTGTCGAGTCACTTTGCAATGCGATTATTCGATGTCTTTCGAAATCTTTCCGTCGTCCTTTCAGGACGCACAAAATTCTCTTTCTCATCGCGATCTTCATTCTCATTTTTACAACAATTCTTTTTCTCGAGTCCTACCCACGTTCGGTTACATGACACTTCTTTTATTTTGTGCCCTCCGTCGAAGGTGGTGGCAACGGAATCGCTTGCTCAGACACCGGTTGCTGCTCCTTTTTTTTCGTCTTTTTCACTTTCTTCTGCAACCTCGGCGATTCCATCTTTCCCTCCTTCATTTCCTCTGTCTGCTGTTTCGGCGTCGCATCCTTATCTTGTGTCATCGTGTCACCATATTTTCCGTCGCTCGTCTCCTCCGCGAGCTTCGTCGTTTCGTCCGTCAGTGTAACATTAGGCTGCTCTGTATTTTCTGCTATGCGATTCTTTATTTCCTGCTCGTTTTTTTCGTCAATCTTGATGCCCTGCTGGAAAACAGGAACAACATTCTGATTCGCACATTCGACAGCCATTGCGCTTTCACTTTCCAAAGATTCTACTTTCGTCTGTAAAAAAACAAAAAATAAGATGCCAAATTAATAAAACGGTCTATTATAAATATTATAATAGAAAAAGAAATTAAGAAATTAATCAAATAATAGAGTTTAGAATATAAAATAAATTGAAATTGATTACAATTGGAAAATTTTATGTACTATTGATAATGGAACATTTTGAATTTTAACGCGATTTGTTTCAAGATTCTCGCGGTTTCTTACCTTTGTCGGTGATAACGGCGCCGGCGGAAGAGGTATCGGTTCGTTGCCCTGCTTCACGTCTTGCTTCACGTCCACATCCATAACCTCAGGAACTTGCGAGATCTTTTTTTCCTG